AGTAAAAAATGAATTCTGGAGATCGAAGCTTGGGTAAGGGAAATCTGCAAAAAATGGACATCCCCCGCCATTAGTGTGTCCGCCATCTGTACGGGATGTCCATTTTTTCTTCATTTACTTACTGTAATTGTTTGTTTTTTAGGGCATAACGGGAAGTTAAGCAAAAAATTAACGGGGTTAACACGGAAACGAGGAGGGGGGAGCGTGCGCAATCAAAAGTATAATACAAGGGGGTATGGCACATTTTTTAAAATACAGGGGGATAAGGCGCGTATAATAAAGAGGGGTTTGGCGCAATTTACCCTATTCAATTCTTTAAAGAATAATATATTTACGTTTTATGTGTATTTGTGAAAAAAAAAAATTGTTGTCCTAATAATTAAGTCGGTTTAGATGAGCTATTAATTAATATATTATTCATTTATCAATTAGTTTTTAGCCAAATTTACCAAAATATTTATCAAGCAAGCATAAATATGAGATTTTAAGAAAATATAATTTTTTATATGTAACTTTCATATATCATTTAGTGTAAAATACAATTACTAATTTTAATAGCAACTATTATAGCTTCAATAAAAATAAATATATTATTACTTATTAGAACCAGGGGAAGATTATAGGAGGAGTAGCCCACTGGGCATATATAGTAGACCCATTTTCCCTATAAAATCAATGTGGGACACTCACAAGTGATACTCCAACACGCCCTCCCAAGCCCACATAGCAGACCGGGTAGAGAGATAAGCCCAAGCCCAAAGCAGGCTTGATAGAGAGAGTCATCGCAGGTCTTAGGACAACTTGGCTCTGATACCATATTAGAATCGGGGGAAGAGAGTGCGGTCCCACCAGATGAAGACACACCATAAGAGAGTGAGCTTATATGCACCTTAGTGAGGTTCCATCCCAAAAACCAATTGGTGATAGGAGGAGTAGCCCACTAGGCATATATACTAGACCCATTTTCCCTATAGAATCAATGTGGGACACTCACAAGTAATATTCCAACATTACTCAATTAATATAAGATGTAACAATTTTTATCTTAATTAATTAAAAAAAACTAATGAAATATTTTATCATTAATGTGATAGGATGGATTATGCCAC